CAGGGATCCCCGTGCCTGGCAGCACAGCACGCAGCGCGGGCGGCAGGGAGGGCAGGAGAGGTGACGAGTGCTGGCTGCCCTGGGAGTTTTGTGGCCAGGTCTGGCCAGGGGGGCACGGGAAGGGCCACACGTGGCATTGCCAGGAGCACCAGGGGAAACGGGGACCCCTGCTCCCACGTCCCCCCAGTGGAGCTCCGCAGGGTCGGTGGGGCACAGCGCTACTGGAGGAACCCCCCCTCCCCGGGAAGGTGTCACCACGCCGGTCCCTGCACAGGTACGACAGGAACAAGCTGACCCTGAAGGACATTCACAGATGCCAGTACGTGGCCTGCATGAACCCCTCCGCAGGGTCCTTCACCATCGACCCCCGGCTGCAGGTACGCAGGGCCCGGGGGGCCGGGGGCTGTGCCCCAGTGGGTTCACTCTCCTGGGAGTGGAGCCCGGAACGGGGTGGGATGGTGAGGGACAGAGCAGGATGAGGTGGGATGGGGCTGGGACGTGGTGGGGGACCTGGCTGTGCCGGCTGCCTGCGCCAGCCCCGGGGAGCAAAGCTCCCACTTGGATTTTTGCTCCTTTCTGCAGCGGCACTTCTGCGTCTTCGCCCTGAGCTTTCCCGGCCAGGAGGCCCTGCTCGCCGTGTACAGCACCATCCTCGCCCAGCACCTGGCCCTGCAGAAGATGCCACCGGCCGTGCAGAAGCTGCAGCCCCAGCTGGTGGCAGCGGCGCTGGGTGAGCCCCTGCCGCACCGGGGGGACCCGGGAGCCCCAGGCAGCACCTCCACGCCACGGCACCGCGCGAATGAACCCTTCCCTCCCATTCATGCCCAAAGCACAGCATCCTGTCCCCAGAAATGGCCCAAGACCCCAGGCTTGTCCCTCCAGCCGAAGCGGGGCGGGGGGGAGAGCGAGCCAGGCTCGGGGGGCACCAGAGGCTGCGGTGGCCTCGGGGACCTGCCCGCCCGCTCACCCCATGTCTCCCACCGGCAGCTCTCCACCAGAAAGTCGCCGCCACCTTCTTGCCAACAGCCATCAAGTTCCACTACCTCTTCAACCTCCGTGACCTCTCCAACATATTCCAGGTAGTGGGAGGGCCGTTCCCCCTAAACCATCTTCATCCCTTTCCCTCCGTCACCACGTGTCCTTGCAGTGCACCACGTCCTTGTGGTGCACCACGACCCCTTCCCAAAGCCAGCCCTTACGCTCAGCTCGGGGCAGCTGTCGGGGAAGCCCCCGAGGACTGAGCATTCGCCTCTTTGCCAGGGCCTCTTGTTCTCCACCCCCGAGTGCCTGAAAAGTCCCGTGGACTTGGTGCGCCTCTGGCTCCACGAAGCCGAGCGGGTGTACGGAGACAAGCTCCTCGATGAACGGGATCAAAAAGACTTTGGGAAGATGCTGGCGGACACCTGCAGGAAGTGCTTTGATGTAAGTTGTGCTGGAAAATGAGGGAGCGCCGCACCCTGCTGGGGCTGCACTGGCAGCCTGAGCCCCCCTGCAGGGGCTCGGTGGTGGCATGGGCAGTGCTGAGCCCCCCGGCTGAGCCCCACCATGCCTGAGCCCCCCAGCTGAGCCCCCCGCCTGGCCTCGCCTCTCCCAGGAACTCAATGAAGACCTAGTGTTCGCCAAGCCCAACATCTACTGCCACTTTGCCCAGGGCATGGGGGAGCCCAAGTACCTGCCGGTGCCGAGCTGGCCGGCCCTGAACAAGCTGCTGGGGGAAGCCTTGGACAGCTACAACGAGATGAACGCGGCGATGAGCCTGGTGAGCGCCCTGCTGCGGGCGGCTACGGGGCATTCCCTGCTTTTCCTGCCATGGTTCAGAACATCAAACCTTCCCCTCCTGCGTCCTTCAGGTGCTCTTTGAGGACGCAGTGTCTCATATTTGCCGAATTAGTCGGATCTTGGAGTCCCCCCGGGGCAACGCGCTGCTGGTGGGGGTGGGAGGCAGCGGGAAGCAGAGTCTGGCGCGGCTGGCAGCGTACCTCAGCAACCTGAACGTCTTTCAGATTACGCTGAGGAAAGGCTACAGCATCCCGGACCTGAAGGTGAGCGCAGCTTTGCTCCCAGCCCCGGGGCACCTTGCCAACGCGGAGCGGTGCTGAGCCCTGCGGTGGCGCCGGTGCCTGGGGTGGGCGTGCGGGACTCTGCCCTGGTCGCTGCATCCGTGCACCGTGCCATCCGCTCGGAGGCGCTTTCTGAACACCCACGAGTCCTGCCCCGAGGGGCCCCAGCGTTTGCCCAGCCAGGGGTGGGGGGGTGCCGGCAGCAA